ATAAATAAATAAAAATATTGCAACTACTATTGCTATCATGAACATCTTTGTGGATAAATTTTTATATATCTAAGAAGGATAGTTTCTCAACAAAAAGACAAACTTTTTTTTTTTAAAGATAGTTTCACTTTGTCACCTTGAGTAGTGTGCTATGGTGTCATAGCTCACAGCAACCTCAAACACTTGGGCTCAAGTGATTCTCTTGCCTCAGCCTCCCGAGTAGCTGGGACTACAGGCATCACCACAATGCCAGGCTACTTTTAGAGGCAGGGTCTCGCTCTTGCTCAGGCTGGTCTCCAACCTATGAACTCAGGCAATCCACCAGCCTCAGCTTCCCAGAGTGCTAGGATTACAGGTGTGAGCCACTGCACCTGGCCTAGACAGAACCATTTTTAAGGGTGTTGATTTGTTTTGCCAAACTGTCTCCCAAAGGTGGTTGTTCCCATCACACTTCTCCCAGCCATATCTGGGTGAGCCCACCTCACCACACCTTTGCTAATATTGGATTTTTTTTGAGAGAGAGAATCTCACTTTGTTGCCCTCAGTAGATTGTCGTGGCGTCATTGCTCTCAGCAACCTCAACTTCTTGGGCTGAAGCAATTTCCTTGCTTCAGCCTCCTGAGTAGCTGGGACTACAGGTGCCTTCCACAACGCTCAGCTATTTTTAGAAGTGTGGTCTCCCTTTGTCTCAGGATGGTCTCAAACCCGTGAGCCCAGGCAATCCACTCGTCTCAGCCTCCCAGAGTGCTGGGATTACAGGCATGAGCCACCATGCCTGGCCCTGCTGATATTTTTAAAAGTGAACTCCCTATTGCTGTATTTTTTAATAGTGTCAAAATGATGGGGACAGTCGTCTGTTGAGGAGCCTGTCTCAGCAGCATTTTGGCACTGCTGGCAGGCTTGCTTCTGACCCTGGAGTATCACTCTGCCTTTAGCCTTCTCTGCACCTGCAACTTCTGGGTGGGACTGGCCTTGCTGGGCTCCGCGTGCCCCTCTGTGGTCTCTCCTGGCTTCCTGAGAGGAGACCCCTGCAGGAAGGGGGACCCACAGCCATCCTCACTCGTGACTGGGGAGCTCTAGTGCCTGCCCAGCCTCACCTTGTTCTTGGCAAGTGAGTTGGCGCCGGCTTTGACGAGCAGCTTGACAGACTGGCTGAAGCCGTGCCAGGAGGCTTCGTGCAGAGCAGTGTTCCCATCCTAAGGTGCACACAAAGGGGAAGGCGTGTTACCCAAGACCCTGCTCTTCTCTTTATAATCAATAACTGTGCATCACAGTGTATCTTTACAGTACAGCCTTTCTCAACCAGGGCTCCTCATCTGAACCATAGAATGGTGGTCGGTTTCTCCATGCTCCCAGGAATAATACATAAAAAGATTCACTCTAGACACACAAAAGAAGTGAATTCATGACACACAGTAGAGCCTTAGCCATTAGGGCTGTCTCTCTGGGAACCCAGCTGAGAAAAACTCCCAGACCCACATCACAGCCAGCTCCTGCCTGCAGAGAACAGCCCAGGCCGTGCTGCCTTCCTCCTCACCTCCACCCCGGGGTGCTCTGCTCCTCACCCCAGAGAGAAGCTGCGATGACCAGCCAAAGGAAGAGTCCAGTTTTACAAGTTTGGGGCTCAGAGGTAGCTTTTCCCCTGCTAATTCTCCCAAAATTAATCTCATCCAGCTTAATCCAAAAAGCTCAGGGTCAGAACAGAAGCACAGGATGAGCAGGGACTGAGGGAACAACATCTGGAAATAAATGGGTGTCCTCACTTCGTACCTTTAATAGAGATCAGCTAAGAAACACCGCTTATGTTTGCTTAACTTACCATTTAAAAAAAAGAAATAGGCTCGGCGCCTATAGCTCAACCGGCTAAGGCGCCAGCCACGTACACCTAAGGTGGCAGGTTCGAATCCCCAGCCCGGACCTGCCAAACAACAATGACGGCTGCAACCAAAAAATAGCCGGGCGTTGTGGCGGGCGCCTGTGGTCCCAGCTACTTGGGAGGCGGAGGCAGGAGACTCGCTTGAGCCCAGGAGTTGGAGGTTGCTGTGAGCTGTAATGCCATAGCACTCTACCCAGAGGGACAGCTTGAGGCTCTGTCTCAAAAAAAAAAAAATAATAAAATAAAATAAAAAATAAATAAAAGAAATAGTGCAATGAATTGAATGGGCTGGGGTCAGGAAGGGAAGCACATGGAGAGAGGAGGTAGCACCATCCGTAGGTGGTTCCAGGCCAAGCAGGGTGGTCAGCGAGCCAGGCAGGTACATTCTCCATCTGCGTCCTGGCTCGGGCTTCAGCTTTTACTCACCCACACCTGGACTCCTGGAAATAGCTAGAAACATGCACAGAGGAGGCAAGGCCTAATGCTGCTGACACCCGCAAAGGGAAGTCTAGGTCCCAAAGGTCAGGGGACGGGTGGTACTGGGGACGGTATCAGGTCTGCGTGGCCCGGGCAGACAGCCCTACTGCAGAAGCAAGAGCAAAGGGTCAAGGAGCTGACCAGAAGAGGGCACAGGGTCTGGGGCCCCGGGTGCTGGGGGCGCGCTGCTTCTAGAGCTGGGTGCTCACATAGGTGTGCTCAGCTGAGGACACACACCAAGCCGCAAGTTTATTGCTTGCACACTTTTCAATATGCATATCACACTTTAATGAAAAGTTGTTTTAATAAGCAGAGGCTGAAGTGCACCTAACTGTGAAGTTCCATGTTTTATGATTGTTTGACAATTTAAAAATATTGGGTATGTGTCATTGGGATTTCTTAAAGTAACAATTGAGTTGGACTTTTTTCCCCTTCCAACATAGTTTATTTTATTTATTTATTTTCAAGACAGAGTCTCACTGTGTTGCCCTTGGTAGAGTGCCATGGTATCACAGCTCACAGCAACCTCCAACTCTTTGTCTTAAGCCATTCTCTTGCCTTAGCCTCCCAAGTAACTGGGACTACAGGCGCCTGCCACAATGCATGGCTATTTTTTGTTGCAGTTGTCACTGTTGTCTAGCTGGCCTGGGCTGGGTTCGAACCCTCCAGCCAGGGTGTATGTGGCTGGCAGAGTAACCACTGTGTTATAGGCACTGAGCCCCAACCTAGTTTAAAGAAATTAACTAGCTCACTTGTCTAAAACCAAACAGTGAACAAAAAGCCTAGGGGCACATTCCTTCCCCTGCCTCATCCAGGCTTCCACAGGTCCTTATTTCTAGATATTTTTTCTTTATTGTTTAGATTTATGTGGTTGTTACTGGTGCCACAGAACAGGAGAAATAATTATTTTAAAAAATAAATTGGCTAGGATACCAGATACTCTTTCAAAAGAAACCTGGGCTGATAGCATCATGTTGAATCCTGAGCATTAAGACTTGGAACATGTAACATACTGAGCACTCAAAAGCTTCCTGGGCAGGGCCCTCAGCACTTCGGGCTGTGAGCAAGCTAGGCACCCCACTCACCTTGTCCTGTCTGTCCAGCGCACACCCCTCCTGGATGAGTGCCGCAATGACCTCCGTGTTCCCCACCACCGTGGCTCGGTGCAAGGCAGTCTGGTTTCCCTAAAAAGTGGTGGGAAGGCAGAAACAGCAATCAGTTTTCCCCAGCACCCTCCACCTGGACACAGGGACCCTCCGTCTCCACATGGAGCAGGTGGTTACCCACAGAAGAGCCTGGTTAACGTGGGCAAGCACCCCAGCAAAGCAATTTTGTTCACAAACTTGGGTGGACCATAAGCCAACAGCAGGAATGGCTCTCAGCCACAGAGCTGACCTCTGAAAGAAGGGACATGACCTCTGAAAGAGGTTACAGGCATGAAGTGCAAGTCTGACGGCCAGGTTGTGTGTTCTAGGCGATTAAACCTGTAATGCCTGGAGTGCTTACAACCCAGAGAGGCTGGTAGAATTACTATCCAGCTATGTCACTTAGTAGTACTCCTGATTTGATGACAGACATGTAATTTGTTATTGACTTGTCCTAACCAAGAGCAACATAAGGAGGGCCAGATGTCGTGGCTAATGCCTATAATCCCAGTACTCTGGGAGGCCAAGGTGGGTGGCTTGCATAAGCTCAGGAGTTCAAGACCAGCCTGAGCCAGACTGAGATCCTGTCTATAAAAATGGGCCCAGCTCGATTTGCTGAGCCACATAGAAGACCAGATGTGTCCCCACTGCAGAGCGCTATCTCCATACAGTGTTGACCTCTGACCTCTGGGAGTGTTTCGTCCCCCTCTCAACCTCAATTAAGGGAAGAGTCAAGTTCTCTTTGGCGCCTCAAGGAGAAAAATGGTCTCTAGTCCCAGGAATCTGATCACAGAGAAAATGGGTCAGAATACAGCATAAATCAGTAAGGACATTGCCATGAAATACCAGGATAGGCAGCAGTCCCTGAGTCCTTGGATAAAACAGAGCAAACCCTTATGTTGCTCTTAGGGCTTTTGTTTTTTTGTTTTTTGGAAACAGTCTCACTTTGTCACCCACTGGTAGAGTTCTGTGGAGTCATAGCTCACAGCAACCTCAAACTCTTGGGCTCAAGCTATTCTCTTGCCTCAGCTTCCCAAATAGCTGGGACTGCAGGCGCCTGCCACAATGCCTGGATATTTGTCATTGTTGTTTGGCATGGCCCAGGCCAGGTGCGAACCTGCCAGCCCCGGTGTATGTGGCTGGCGCTCTAACCACTGAGCTACAGGTGCTGAGCCCCTTGTGCTTTTTATACTTAACACATATAACCTTTTGGGGGGTGGGGAGACAGAGTTTTACTGGGACAACGGGCTCCTGCCACTACACCTGGCTAATTTTCCCATCTTTAGTAGAGATGGGGACTTGCTCTTGCTCAGGCTGATCTCAAACTCCTGAGTTCAAGCAATTGCCTGTCTTGGCCTCCCAGAGTGCTGGGATTACAGGTATGAGCCACCGCACCCAGCCCTATGTTTAACAGATAAAGCTATTAGCATCTGGAAAAACATCTATTTAATAAAAATCTAAACAGTAACGACATACTAGAAATGAAACTGCCTATGTCTCAGAATTTTTTCTCACTGTTCATGTGTAGAATTTAAGGTATTTCTGCAGTGCTGGTGTCAAGACCTCCAGCCTATGACCAGGATGCATCCTCTGTCCCTGACATCACTACCACCAACCCTCCCTTCAGAATCTGAAACCATTGTTCCCACTATAAATTAGCCTTATGTCGGTTTTCTTAACATCTATCTTTCCCAGACCCTTATTCAAGGAAGACCCTTATTGTGGTCAGAAGACACAGCTGCTGAGTCAGTGGCGGCACATCACTCCCTCAGACCTCTCAGGAAGCGGCTCCACATGGGGTATAGACACTTCAGACCCAATCAGGTAATCACAGAGGATACTGCCCAGGGCTTACCATTCTCATAATACTTCCAAGGCATCCCATTTCCCTACGAGAAAGGTGATGGACTGTCTCTAAATGGGCCTGGAACACAATTTGTTATTACTGACCTGCTGAGAAGGATGGCACCCTTGCTTACCAACCAATGTGAGACCACATCCCTTTCTTTCAGGGTGGTACTAACTTGGTCAGATTTCTAATTAATAGTTAACATTCCCACAAACTACATGTGCTCTAAGTAGCATTCTTTGGAAAGTCAGAAGCATCTTTTTGTATAATAAAACTTAACCATTCAGTAGGTACAGTCCATACAGTGTGAACCACAAGACATATATATGCCCTGAGCACACTCCTGGTGTGCAAATTATTCCATCAAGGGCCTTCACTGGTGTAGGGTGAATGTCCTATCATGTTTCTTGAGCTGCCCACTAAATCATGAGGGAGACAGCTCTGGAGCCAGCACATCACCGTAATTTACATTTGCTTTCATCATCACTCTATTGTATTTGCTGCCCTCAAGATAACTTTCCTTTGTGAAACTTTAGCTCAAGGCTAAATCTAACTTTCAGTTTAGCTCTTAGGAGGAGGAGGAGGAGGAAGAAATTTCTCGATGGATTATCAAGATTCAAAGAGAATGACTTTTCTCAGGTTGCAGTGAAAACAAATCGTTTCAAGCTGCTGACAGGTGTTTCCTGCTCGCTGACTCCTCTAGGGAGATTGCTGGCCACCACCCCTCCAGCTGTGTTCCCCGCAGACCTGTCCTTTCCTCCAGGAAGATGGGTGGCCACTACCCTCTCCAGCTGTGTCCCCTCAGACCTCGCCCCCTTCTCGAGCGAGACTGCTGGCCACCCCCTTCCAGCTGTGTCCCCTCAGACCTTATCCCTTCCTCTAGGGCAGTTCTCAACCTTCCTAATGCCCACATTGTTACAAACTGAACAAAGAGGTCACAACCTACAGGTGAGAACTACTGCTTTAGGGAGATCCCTGGCCATCCCCCTCCAGCTGTGTCCCCTTAGACCCCATCCCTTCCTCTAGGGAGATCCCTGGCCACCCCCCTCCAGCTGTGTCCCCTTAGACCTCATCCCTTCCTCTAGGGAGATCCCTGGCCACCCCCCTCAGACACAGATCTCACTGCCAGCCTGGGTCCCAACTTCCTCACTGATCTCGTTTCCCAGATCAACACTGCTGTGGAGCCAAAGTTGCCTCCCTTCCCTGGACCATTGGCTTTGCTCGCTCACACCAGCTGGGACTGCTCTGGAGAACTGGGCCAATGCACTGTCTCCAGCTTTACTTATGTTACCAAGGGGAGACATAAAACGCATAAACCTGGGGCTGCCCCAGGTGATCACCTTGCAACTAGTCTTCCCTAAAACACAACCCAAGCAATTTAACACCTTGAGCCTTTCCCTTGAATAGGGTCAGTTACCCACAACTTGACTCTTCTTCTTATACAATTTACTGTTGAAACATTTCCTTTCTGAAATATGACACAGAAAAGAACAAGATGTGCCCTTAATTTATACTACTACATCTGAGTAGTAACTTCAGCATAATCCTTAAATTCTGTACGATCTAATTCAATCATAAAATTCTGAAATTTTGAAAAGAACATACTGGGAAAAGCAGCATTTAGTCCATATTTAACTGAGTGAATGTTTACTGACTCCCTACTAGGCACCAAGTGTCCCCACATCTTATTCTCTCTTTTGATTGATGAGCCAAGCCTAGGATAATTAGCTAATTCACAGGTAAGCATGGCTGGGCCAGAAGTCAAGCTGCCAAGGCTCTTCGCACTCACACCAAGCTGCTTCTAACCCATGAAGCCAGTTAACCCGAAGGTGGCCTCTGTGGGGCGGAAGCTGCCTCTCCTGGCCTCATCAAACTAAGTGCTGAGCACTGTGCCTTGGCCACTACAGACACCCACGAAGGATCTGTTGAATGATTAACTACAAAGAAACAGAAGGGAAAATGCTGTGGCTGGAAACCTGAAGAGCCACCAGCCTTGCCATTTGGCACTTTGTGAACACGCTGACCCATTTGCAGAAGCACATGGGCTGCCAGTTCTTAGTATTTCTGAGATACCAGTGTTTCCCACTGCAGGATTTCCAGAGCTTGGGTGCCTCTGAGGTCTATATCTTTGTTTTGAAATTCCGTTATTTTTCTTTGCTACATCATGAAAGAAAGTGAGCATAAAGTTGGCAGACTCCAAGGCCAAGCTCATGGCAGAAAGCCTGACTGCAGGATGGGCTGCCCCTCTCGAGGAGGACCCAGTCCAGGAGGCACAGGCAGACATGCTATAAGGAAGCTCAGGACAGGGTGGCTGTGTAAGCAAGATGCTGACCTCTTTTTCTCTCTCTGATATTCTAGGATCCTTCCTGTCCTTTCTTCTCTGGTTTTTCTTATTTTTTTCTTCCTTCATGCCTTCTATAGTGGCCACAACATCCTGGACTATTTCTGAGGTGGGGGCTGTGTGATTGCTGATGGACCAATCAGAGATGGCATTAGCCCTCCAAGGAGCGTCTGGAGGATTGGTGGGAAGCAAGAGAGAATTTGCTCCTGGAGTAGCATATTCTAAAGAACTGATTTCCACAGGTTGAAATTCGTAATAATCCCACTCCAGGCCACTGAAGGTCATTCTTCAAATAATTCTCAGTCCTTACCATGCCATAAAGATCAGTATCTGTAGAATATGAAGTCACAAATAAATTCTTCATAACATTGACATTCTCTATTTCTCTACCCCCCATCCAAGATAGGTTACTTCTGGAATGATTCCCGCCCCCCTTCCCGGTAATTAATCTCCCAGCTTCTTTAAAGAACACACATGAAGAGTTTTCTCCCTCAAATTCTTGCATGTATTCCAAGGCTGACCATCAACAGTCATAGTGGACACACAGAAGATGGACATGATCCCAAATACAGCACTTCAGGACCAGTGATGGCCAATTCCGCCTTGTCCATTCCTAGCTGCTTTTTCATATTTGTTTTGTTTTGTTTTAGCAATATGTATGTTGTCTGGAAAAGATGCAAGAAAATAAATAATTCCAACAAATAAAAGAAAGAGTGCTTGTCAAAAGAAGAGTTCCTCTTCTAAAATAAAACAAGAGTTCAGTGGAAAGCACTGGCTTTCCATCCGCCAGCGTGTCTCATCCTGGCTACCTTGTGAGAACACCTGGCTGTTTCACTTCCTATCTTGCCTAATATAAACAGTAGTTTTAGGAAATTAGCATGGCCTTTGCTGCATGAGAAAACAATGATACTCAGGACCTGAGGCAGGGGTGCTGGGGTGGAATGGGTTGCCTTGCCTGGCCCTGTGGCCTTGCCACCACGGCAAGCAAGGAATTTAATTATGCAAAAAGAAGAGATGCATCCCAACACGTCTGCACCAGCAGCTCAGTGTCCTGCTTCTGCTGTAGTCAGAATCTCTTCCCTCCCCTGGCATTTCACCCCTGTCATCCCTGATATGATATAATCAGGACTGCCATGATGACTATGGTGCAGAACAATAAGCATCATGGCCCAAAGTGAGAGTCAGCAGCTTTAAGCCAAATCAGAATCTTTTTTTTTTTTTTTTGAGACAGAGCCTCAAGCTGTCTCCCTGGGTAGAGTGCCGTGGCATCACAGCTCACAGCAACCTCCAACTCCTGGGCTCAAGCGAGTCTCCTGCCTCCGTCTCCCAAGTAGCTGGGACCACAGACGCCCGCCACAACGCCTGGCTTTTTTTTTTTTTTTTGGTTGCAGCCATCATTGTTGTTTGGCGGGTCCGGGCTGGGGATTCGAACCCGCCACCTTAGGTGTACGTGGCTGGCGCCTTAGCCGGTTGAGCTATAGGCGCCGAGCCAAATCAGAATCTTTTGAGAATAACATCCTTGAGGCCTCAACAGGTTCCAGATAAGAGTTTATGAATGACACTGGATGGTCCTCTGTCCATATACAAAACAATGTCACATTTAGTTCTTTTTTTACAATTGCTATCCGTCTCATTTCTAAAAGTGCTTGCAAGTTTTAGGACATTGCACAGAGACCCAAGGAAAACTCAGATCACTTTGGTAAACCATACCCTAAAGAGAATCTGAAATTTGAATATCATTTTATATATACAGTTATGAAAGTTGAATCTGCAAGAGATTATGGTAAGTGCAAACTCTCCAAGATTCTAAGTTCCTCACAAAAGTTCTTATTTCTTAGAGTCTTACAACATGAATTAGAGTTGAAACCCTTTCTAAAAATAGTTTCCAATCACATTATTATAGGACCTTTTCCTAAGCGCTCACTGGAGGACAATTTACATGATTCCTTTTTAGAAAATCCACTTTTTGCAAAGACCCAGTAGGAAGGCTCAGTGTACTGTGCCAGTCACTGCCAACTGACTCAGGGTTGACTATTGTGCATAGAGGAACAAATCAGAGTACCTCTCTAGACATGCTGAGTGAACAGACAGAGGTAGCTAATTGGCAGCCCTGGATCAGCAACAGTCTAACACTTTGGGCGGCACCCATAGCTCAGTGGTTAGGGCGCTGGCCCCATACACCCAGGCTGGTGGGTTCAAACCTGGCCTGGGCCAGCTAAACAGCAATGACAACTGCAACAATAACAACAACAAAAAATAGCTGGGCGTTACAGTGGACACCTATAGTCCCAGCTACTCAGGAGGCTGAGGTAAGAGAATTGCTTAAATCCAAGAGTTTAAGGTTGCTGTGAGCTGTGACACCAAGCACTCTACTGAGGAAGACTATCTCAAAAAACCAACAAACAAAAGAAAACAGTCTATTGAACTCTTTCTGGAGGCTTCCTTTTTCTTGGATTCCATGAGCTTTGTGTCCTTTTCTTCCTTAAATGGGTACTTTTCAAGTACAAGTGCACTGGGCCGTGCCTGTGCTTCAGTGAGTAGGACACTGGCCCCATATACTGAGGGTGGCAGGTTCAAACCTGGCCCCTGCCAAACTGCAACAACAAAAAAAAATAGCCAGGCTTTGTGGCAGGTGCCTGCAGTCCCAGCTACTTGGGAGCCTGAGGCCATAGAATCACCTAAGCCCAGGAGATGGAGGTTGCTGTGAGCTGTGATGCCATGGCACTCTACTCAGGGCAGCAAATGAGACTCTTGTCTCTTAAAAAAAAAAAGTACAAGTACACTGACAAAAAGCAATCAAAGTGAAAAAAGGAAAAAATTAGGTTTTTAAACCCCACCTTTTCTCCAGTGGTAAATTTGGTCCTGGACACCCATTTCCAGCAGGCCTTGCCCATACTCACTGGTGAGGGTGCGTCCCTTTACCCTGAAACAGGAGGGCAAAGAGCCCCTAGAGCTTCTGCACGTGAATGATAATAGGTAGGGAACCATGTGCAAGGGGAGAACCACCCATACTCCCAAACTTGCTGTTGAGAGTGGGCCTCAGGGCAGGTCTGCAAGAGGAAGTCGCACCACAGAGACCAAGATGCAGCCAGAAAGTGCTGGGCGAGCCTCTACTACCTGCCAACCTTTTGGGTGGGCCTCTGCCACCCGCCACCTCGTGGGTGTCACCAGCCACCGCCTTGTGGTAAACCTCGACCACCCACCACCTCTCTGGCAGGCCTCTACCACCCTCCTTGTTGTGAGCCTCTGCCACCCACCACCTCGTGGCTGCTTTACGCTTTGTACTGTGGATGTCAGGCCAGAAGAGCTCCCCTGTCACCCCACCCCCTAACGTAATGATGGCTTCTACTTACGTCATCTTGGACATCGAGGTCACAGCCGGCCTTCAGCAAGATCTGGACCACAGAAAGATGGCCCTTATTGGCAGCAAGATGTAGGGGGGTCCGGCCATGCTGTTAATGCAAAGAAACACTGATTTTAGGACAAACATCAAAACCACTTTCTTGGGGGCAGAGAGTTTCTAGCAAGGCTTGTACATGGTTTTAGAAAGCTTACTCCTTCCTGACTCCCCCCAACCCCCGCCGTTTGACAGGACATTCTTAAGGATTTATCCAGAATTCAAGTTTGTCTCTGTTAACCTTGGCCAATGGCATTGTAACCAAAGAACAAAATATGCTCAAAATGTGAAGATTTCCTTAACTCAACAATCTCTACTCTCTACTGACCAAGCCAACAAATGGCAAAGTGAGGGTGTCCTGCCTTCTCACTGCTGTGGATACACAGCGCTAGTCAAGTGACCATGATGAGAGGACAGTGGGTGGAGAAAACGTCAGGCTCATCAGCCCTGGAAAATCCTAGTCAATGACTCCTTAAAATTAAACCTGCTGATTAAACTGATTAGGAAAGATTCTCTCTCTTTTTAAAAAACAAATTTCTGAATTATGAAGTATTTTAGCATTCAGATGTCTAAGTAATATTTAATAATACACATACCCACGGACCATTTCCAGAAAACATGAGCAAAGCCGCTGGCATTCCTTGTGACTGCCTCCCATCTCCTCTGCCCCCAGCCCAGGAGCAACCGTCTCTCACATTCAGCACCCATCACTCCTTTGCGTGCCTGCGGCCGTGGACGGCACGCGAGCATTGCTATGCTCCTCACATGAACAGGATCATACTGTTCAGCATCATTTAGCACTTTCTGCCCAACATGTTTTTTTTTTTTTTTTTGAGACAGAGTCTCATTATGTTACACTTGCTACGGTGCCATGGTGTCACAGCTCACAGCAACCTCCAGCTCTTGCACTTAAGCGATTCCCTTGCTTCAGCCTCCCAAGTAGCTGGGACTACAGGCACCCACCACAGTGCTCGGCTATTTTTTGTTGCAGTTGTCATTGTTGTTTAGCAGGCCCGGGCCAGGCTGGAACCTGACACCCTTGGTGTGTGTGGCTGGTGCCATAACCACTGTGCTATGGGTGCCAAGACCCAATGTCCCATTTTTGAGACGTGTCTTCATACTGTCCCACGCAGCTCCAGGTCGCGTGTTGGTGATCTGCCTGCTCTTCTGCTGTCGGGACCCCGGCTGCGTCCAGTGGCAGCAGCGCACATACCTGTGCCCCCTCCTCCTGCACGTGGTGGCTCCGCAGCCCTCTGCTGGGTCGCGGAGAAACCTTCCTGCTGTGGCTTCAGCCTACAGGCTCCTGAGGTAACACACCGAGGGCGACATCCAGAAGAAATAATACTTTCTAGTGTAGATCAACTTTGGTGCAGTGAACTAACTTCCTTGCCAAATTCCTGATTCTCCAAATTCTAAAAAATGCAGTATGTTCCCTTTGCTTCCCCCACAGGTTTCACATCGAAGAAATGTCCAGACATCGGCCCCTCCCGTGCTGGGCCACATCCCCGTGGAATAAGGGTCGCACCTGACCTGATGTCCTGCTTTAAAATATCTTAATTTCTACTCATGAAATGCAATCAAGGCACTAGGATGATTTTGGAAAGAAAGAGGTCAGAGCTCTTTAAAATTAGAATTTTAACTTTAAAATTAGAATTCTTGATTAAGAACAAAGTTACTCCCAAGAACATGGGCTATAAAAAGCCTCCATAAAAACTGTGTCAGGCTGAGATGAGTGACCTTCCCTCTCTGGTGGCGATGCCCAGCCTTGTGTTCCTTAACCTTGATTTTTTTTTATTATTATTAATTTATTTATTTATTTTGAGACAGGAGCCTCAAGCTGTCCCCCAGGGTAGAGTGCTGTGGCATCATCACAGCTCACAGCAAAACTCCTGGGCTCAAGCGATTCTCCTGCCTCCGCCTCCCGAGTAGCTGGGACCATAGGCACCCGCCACAGCGCCTGGCTATTTTTTGGTTGCAGCTGTCATTGTTGTTTGGCGGGTCCGGGCTGGATTCGAACCTGCCACTTTGGGTGTATGTGGCTGGTGCCTTAGCCACTTGAGCCACAGGCGCCGAGCCAACCTTGAGTTTTAAAGGGAATGTCCATAGATAGTCCGCGACTGGTTTCGCCTGCTGAGCCTGGTCCCCAGCTCTGTCACCATAGGTTCTTGTCAAGGGCCTCACACTTTGACATCAAATAAGTGGCCTTCACCAAGTTTTCTGAGGTATTCTGAAATGTAGGGGAGCTCATCACATGTGTGAAGAGAAAGGTGTGTGCTGTGAGGAGGGTGACAGGAGGTGGGACACACAAATGCTTCTTAAAGGGAAAATACAGACCATGACGTGTAGGACTTGCCCAGACAGGCTGGAAAGGGGGCCACAGGCCAAGAAGCCACAGGGTGCTGGGGTCAGAGGAGTCCTGGAGAACATTCTTCTCAGCACCCACATATTATTGTTTTGTTTTTGTTTTTGTTTTTGTTTTGAGACAGAGTCTTAAGCTGTAACCCTGGGTAGAGTGCCGTGGCATCACAGCTCATAGCACCCTCCAACTTCTGGGCTCAAGTGATTCTCCTGCCTCTGCCCTCCAAGTAGCTGGGACCACAGGCGCCAGCCACAAGGCCGGCTATTTTTTGGTTGTAGCCATCATTGTTGTTTAGCGGGCCCGGGCTGGATTCGAACTCGCCAGTTTAGGTGTATGAGGCTGGCACCTCAGTCTCTTAGCCTGAGCCACAGGCGCCGAGACCACATATTGTTTTTTATAATGATGATTATTGTATCTTTTTTGAGACAGAATCTCACTCTGTTGCCTAGGCTAGAGTGCCATGGCCTCAGCCTAGCTCACAGCAACCTCAAACTCTTGGACTCAAAGTGATCCCCCTGCCTCGACTTCCAGAGGAGCTGGGACTACAGGCGCCTGCCACAACACTTCAGCAGTTTTTCTCTTTTTAGTAGAGACACAGTCTCATGCTTGCTCAGGGTAGTCTTGAACTCCTGTGCTCAAGCGATTGTCCTGATTCAGCCTCCCAGAGTGCTGGGGTTGCAGGTGTGAGCCACCATACTTGCCCCAGCAACCTCATATTATCAGGGGGGAAGTTGAGGTCTGATGAGGCTGAAGAGTTTGTTCCAGAGATGCAAATAATCTGGAGGAAATGCTGCTGTGGTCCCTCTGTGAACTGTCTGTGTCCCCCAGATCCATACACTGAAGCCCTGATCCCCAGGGTGATGGTATGTGGTGATGAGGACTTAGGAGGTGACAAGATTTGGAGAGTGACACCCTCCCCTGGGATCAGTGCCTTTGTAAGGAAAGACAGGAGAAAGCTTACTTCTTCCTCTCACCTCGTGGGACACAGCAAGAGGGCAACTGTCTGCAAACCCGTAAGTGAGCCGTCACTGGACACTGGCTCTCCTGGTATGCTAACCTTCCAATTCCCAGCTTCCAGAACTGTGAGAAACCAATGTCTGTCTTAGACACCAAGTCTGTGGTATCATGTTGGAAAAGCCAAATGCACTGAGACAGGCACAGACCAGATCTCATCTGGGAGGCACTTTAGAAACCATAAGTTACACACAAGGCAGGCCTGGACAGGAGGTACCTTTCTAAACAAAGTCAGACAGAACCCCCTGTGGGGAAATGAAAGACCAGAGGTATTGGATGGGGACAGGCCAAGTTCCGATCACAGCTCTAACTAGCTGGTGCTTCGTTTTCTAAACTAAGCTGGCCTTCTCACTATAAATAGTGACAGCCTCCATGACCCACGTCATGGGCTTGAAGTAAGGATTTAAAGTGGTATCCCCCATCTAATGTGGGGTTCCTTTCCCTCCAGCTGTCCCTAGCCCCCACCCTTGAGGACACCCCAATTGCTCATCCCTTCTTCTCCGTGACTCCCCCACCCCTATGCCTTGGCAAAGCCTAGGGAGCTGTTTTCACTATCAAGAGGATCTTAGACCACACAGGCAGCCAGATGGGTACCACTGGAGGGTCAAGGTCCCCACCAGCAAGTCCTGCCTGCTGTGCGTGTCCTCTGCCTCTGAAGTGGTCTGTGGTTCCCAATCCCTGCGTCTGCTTGGAAGGCCTTCCTTACCAGGGACTCCCTCTCCGCACCATGCCTTCTCTGGCCCCACAGGAAGTGTTCCTGGCAGGCCTTCTCCACTCCCCACACGCTGCAGCTCAGAGTGACACTCGAAACTGCCACATTCTGTTTTGTGAGTCACCCTGGGTGCTGGCTTCTTCCAATGAGGCCACGATCCCCTTGAGAGCAGGGACCGTGCCATCCACAAATGATGAACCAAGTTGGCTCTGGGGTGACAGGCAGGCCCTATCCTATCACACAGGCAGCCAAGTATGGGGCGGGGACACTGAGAAAATCCTGCAGACCCAGGATTTTGTCCTCAGGGAAGTAAGTGGAGAGCGTGGGGTGGGTGCTGACACGCGGGGGCCTGAAGAGTCATGCAGCAACAGCCAGGCTTCTCTGAGGGGTCTGTGTCCCCTCCCGTGTGTGGCTCCTTTTCTGGTGCCTATTGGAAGTGCAGCTACTGGCTTCCCCATCCTGCAGCTGTCAGTGCCTGTTCCCAGGCTCTCCCAGCATCAGACCAACCCTCTCTCTCTCAAACACACCACCTACCAAAGCAGAAAAGCAAGAGAGAAGCAGAACATTCTGTAGTGAAAAGCACCCAAACACAGCACTGCAGAGCAGAGGCCCCCCATGCCTGACCTGTGGGGAAGCCTGAAGCCTCTCCGTGTGAGGGAGCAGAGAAAACTGCCCCTGCACCGCGTCTCTGCATGACGTGGACTTAAGAACACAGCTGTTCTCATTTCCATGCCCCTAGGACTGGCCAGTAGAAGAAACACGAATAGGAGAAAAGACTGCTTTGTAAATGGTAAGAAGAAAAGATTTGGAAGCATCCAGTCTCCTTGGGTTCTACCCCAGCTATCCTCAAAGCCCGGGGCTGAGGCTGTCCCCTGGCAGCGGGTGCTCCACGTCTCACTTACAGGAAACCTGCAAGTTCTTGAGTGCTGTATACCAGTCCAGACTCTGACCTCTGGAGTTGCTTAAAA